GCAAGCCACTCCCACAAAGGAGGCCACGCCCACAGAGTAGGTTCGAACAATTTTTGAAACCCACCCCTGGATTAGACTATTAGAGAATCTATCTCATGTAAGCATGTAAAAAACAAATATGTCCTTCACAAGCACATAATTAAAAGCCCAACCCCTTTTCATGTTAAACATGTAAAAGAAGGTGAGAGTTTCATCTTACAATGGTAGTAATGTCTTTTTTTATACCTGTTAAAATGTAATTGTAATTATAATTGCTGTGAAAAATATTGGAAGGCCACCTATCTTTTTGTCTTTTTCTATTTTTAATTATTTTTATTTCTTTCTTGCACTTTTTTCTTTGCTTTCTTTTCCTTTTTTCTTCCTTTCTACATTAGTTTGCATTAGTTTTTATCCTGTTTAAAATGTAATAAAAATTCTATATAAAATTATTTTTTAAAAAAATCATTGGAGCAGAACCAAGAATGAGATTTCTGTGTTTCAACTGAAGGAAGAAAGTGCTTTAATGCCATGCACTTGACTTTAAGTCATCTGTCTATTCAAAATTCTCCCCCTTATCCCTTTTCTCTCCTCCCTCCCTTTCTTCTTTCCAAAGAAGTTATGACTATTATATGCTCACTAGCTCTTCACATAAAGGCTTACACCAAAAATGAGAACTCTGATGTAAATAATGTCTTCAGCTGCAAACGACCTATATACAATGGGTAAATTTGAATGCTGTGGTTTTAATTCAAATTCAATTCAATTCAATTTGAATGCTATGCATTCAATTCCATGTTTATTTTATGTACTTATAACTTGCTACAATTGTAAACAGGTTTGGAGCTGTTCATTAGCAGGTTTAGCTTAATGATCTCTACTATTCATGCTTATAGCAATTGAAACTTGTGTTATTCCACATTTTGTGGTTACCTTTAAACATTATTATATTCTATGTGCTAAATTGGAAATGTTTTTATCAATTAATACATGAATTAGAAATTGTGTTTGTGGGTGTCTTTCTCTGTCCTGGTTAGAATATTGGGTTAATACTTCTACAACTGACATTTACTGAGTGAGACTTGATTAGGTTTACAGAGTGTGCTAAACATGGATTATTCAACTATAATTAGTTAATGGGGCATAGTTGGCTAGGTTCATACAATACATGGAATCATTTAGCTATAAAGGCTTCTGACAACCAAAACAAACTGTTGTTATGGCTTACCACTATGTGTGAATCTTGCCACTGAGATTTCTTCATCCAATCTGTTAGTATTTCCAGATCAGCCAATGTTGCTACTGGGACTGGGCACTGCCATAATGCATTGTAGACCAAATAATAAGATAAGATTTATGCACATTAGGGCAATTTTTTATGTGTTATGCATTTATTTGTATTAGAAAATCAGATGCATTTGCACTCTGACATAAATAATAAATAAATACATACATTTCACTTTTTGTACAGAAAATAGGTGAATACAAGTATATCTAAACACTCCTTTTACATATATATTTTATTTTTTTAAACATAATTTCTTGCATAATATGTACATGGTGTAGTTTCAGAGTAAATCTGTTGAGTGGTTTCTGAGTATTGTGCTATTTCATCCTATTACTTCATAGAAGTAATAGTGACTTGTGAAACAAATGTGAAAATATTCTGTGTCCTATTGAAAATGTGATGCTTTTGCTGAAACTTCAGTGGCTATGGTGCTGTTCACCTTGTTGGCAAGAGCTGCATGTGTTTGGAGCTCAATAAAAACAACTCTGATTACTTATATGCTTGCTTCTAACAATGGTCTTATGCAATGCCGTAAGGATGATAGTGGAAAGGTTGGATAAAAATTCAAATGTGTGTACAAATATGATCTTGCCTGATGAAGAAAATGCTTGGAGCTGCCCAGACCTGCTGTAAATGTCTGTTCAGGCATAAATCATGAAGTAACTTTAAAAAATGACCTGTTTCAGCCTTAGTTCCTATCCAGTCTGTCATATGAGTAAAAGTTTTACTTAGTGGAGGTGTACAAAATAATCTGGCTCTGGAACATTCAGTTCCTTTCCTTTCCTCATTTCTCATTCCTGAACAGAATATCAGCAGATTTTTTTTTTCTGTCATGGAGTAGGTAGCCTGAAATTGGTGCTCTGAATGCATTGCATTCTAAGTCCTCAAAAGGGCTTATAAATACATATTTGCATATATCAGTTTATGCACAGCAGTGTCTGTTTTTCAGTTGATCATGGATTGTGGTTTATTAATCTAGGGCTTTATTATATGATTTAGTTATCTTATTCCTCAGGTTCTTTGTTGTACTTATTAAAATATAATTCCTTTTTTATTGTTTTATTTTAACATTGAATTTTATTAAGATGTGCATTCTAAATACATTTGAGCAAAGCCACTTTGGTTAAAGGGAATCAGGAGCAATTAGTTCAAGCATTTAGAACTGGCAACAGGGAAGGGATTGCTGGTGAGTGAATGGGGGAGGGGGGCATTCTCTAGCATCTGGTGGGAGTGGCAGGGGAGAGAAATGTGATGTGTTTATGTGTATGAAAGAGTTGTAATATTTGTAATGTGTGTCTATGTTATGTAATGTGTAAGGAGTTGGAAATAGAATACCCTGTGGGTACTGAGAGCTGATAAACCTCAAGGTGCATGGCTTACCATCGTTAGAATTTTCTGATAAGGACATTGGGAGGTTCCAAATTCTGGGTCCTGTGAGCTTCCTTCTGGGGATGGGGCTGATATTGGTGGGAGAGCAGGCCATAGAATTAAGTGGTATTGGGCAAGGGGAGATATGGTGAGCAACAAAAGCAGACTATCTTCGGGAATTGCAAAACTGTTGTCTCATAATAGTTCCATGTTCCAGCTACCTGACTTTAGCCCCAATGCTTTGTCAGTGGACCTTTAGCAGCCCTGGCCACTAGCTGCTTCTACTGAATAAGAAGTCTGTAATAGCCTTTCTCATAAATGATTTGATCAATAATGAGATGATAGACTTAGCATAAACAAGTTCATTTAGTGACTGTTCAAAATTGCAATGGTACTGAAAAAAAGTGACTTTTCACATTTTTCACACTTATGACCATTGCAGCATCCCCATGGTCATGTGATTTGCATTCAGATGCTTGACAACTGGTTCATATTTATGGTAGTTGCAGTGTCCCAGGGTCACATGATCACCTTTTGCGCCCCTCTGACAAACAAAGTTAATTGGAAAACCAGATTCACTTGACACTAATTTAACAATTGCAGTGTTACTAATTTAACAACTGCAGTGATTCATTTAATAATGTGGCAAGAAAAGTCATGAAATGGGGCAAAACCTACTTAGCAACATAAATTCTGGGCTCAGTTGTGGTCATAAGTTGAGGACTACCTGTATTACTGAGACCTGTGTAGATTCTAAAAGGAGATTTGCCCTTTCCAAAATTTGCCCAGATGGGTTGCAGTTGAGCCATGGTGGCACAGTGGTTAGAATGGAATGTTGCAGACTAACTCTGCCTACAGCCTGGAATTTGATCCTGATGGACTCAAGACTGACTCAGCCTTCCATTCTTCTGAAATTGGTAAAACGATGACCCAGATTGTTAGGACAATATACTGACATTTGTAAACTGCTCAGAGAGTAATGCAAAGCACTATGGGTGGTATGTAAGACTAAGTGATATTTCTATTGTTATTGCATTGTGACAAGGGTGCGGGGTCATTCATGAGGGAAATTCATAATTTCTTATAATTTTCATAGATCACAAATTACTAGTTGTGTGAGCCTGTTCATTAAATTGGGCTATAGAGATCAGTTAGGACTGTTATTGTAGTTCAAGCCCCCCCCCCCTCCGCACAGCGACCTCTCTGCTTGAACTCCTTTCATTTTATTTCTGATTTGGCTGGCGGCTCTGGGGCACTTTAAGCTGCCTTCCCTTGAAATGGGCTCTGAGGTAGCTCTAGACAGCCACCTATCCCAGGTTATTTAGAAGTCTATTCAAAGTGCTGGTGTCTTAGATTATTGGAAACATACTTAGATGACTCCATTGTGGAGGCAACATTTCTTATCCTCCTTTATGCCCAGGCTTTGTATATTTGTTTTCATGCATTTTTTAATGTGGATTTTTTTATATTGGTCTAACTTTTGTTTTATTTGATTGTTGATTGTGTTTTTTCAGAATGTTTCACTTTGATATACATAATTTTATATTACACATTTTGGATTTAATTTATTCAATTATGTATTTTTAATCCAAATTACATTTTGGGTAATGGCACAATGTTCATGTTGGTTAACTGAAGCACCTTAAGAGCTGCAAATCAGTCTAGCCATTGCTCAATCTCCTCTTTCAGGAAAAGGTGGAAATAGTTTTACACCTACTCCATCTGGAACGCTTTTCACTCGAAGAGTCAATTATTCCCAGACACCTGGAATTTAGATAAAGGGGAATATAGGCCTTGTTAAAAAAGGGAAAGTGGCCGTGGAACACAAACAGTTAGGAGACTGGAGATTATATATGTTGTTTTCACAATTTAAAACAGAGATGGACAATTGTACTTCCTAGAAGTTGTAGTATATTTTTTTCTCCATTGACCATGCTGGCCATGCTGATGTTCAATACCCAGAGAACAATTTCTTGGCCACTTTGGGGTACTTTTTTTCAGCTTCTAAAGCTACATCGTCTGGAAAACATTTTTAAAAAGGGATCTTGCAAAATATTCATATTTTTTCAGCAATATCAGTTTTTTGCAAAGCCAGTCTTCAATTCTGAGAGTTGTAATCTCAAAACATCTAGAGCACACCAAATTGATATTGGTTAGTAGGAGAGGAGGAAGATATGATACCATTTTTAAAAGACTTATTCTAAATGAACTTAAAGATACTGATGTATGTAACTATTTTTAAATTCCAGAGTAATTCTTCTTAACCAAGACAATTAAAAAACTTCCTGGGAAGAGCTTGACAAGGTATGCTATAATGTCATTAGATATAATTGATTGATTGATTATGCACCATCAAGTAATTTTTTATCTTAGAAACGACATCGATTTTCTCCATGACAATCTATCCTTAACCTATTCTTTCAGGAATATCTTAAGAAAATAATGCTATATTTAGCAATTATTGTTGCATTTTTACTAATGTGTAAAATCATGTGTAAAGCTATAGCACTTCATCTTGGAAGGAGCAAAAGAATGAATGACCATGTTCCTGAGCATTTCCCCACAAAATATGCAAAATATTTGCATTTTCCCTCCTGTTTTATTCATTTAAAATCTGACTCAATAGATTAAGCCAGATTTTAACTGAAAGATGCAAGAAAAAAAGAGATTCAGAAGCATGTAATCATTTTGGCAAAATTTTCCTGTTTGTGACTACAATGCTGTCACTTTTAGGAATAATTAGGACTTCTTATTCATCTCGAAAATGATCTTTTGAAAATATCTTCTAAGCAAGTCCTGATTGAATTAATAGGATTATACCAGGGATGTGCAGGCAGGGGAGACAGAGCCTCACCACTGTCATCATAAAAAGAAAAAAAATGTAAAAGGAAAAAAGCTGAGCTAGTTGCTGCCAGAGTCACAGTGGATGACTCTACTTAGTGCTTAACTGTTTAAAAAAGCCTCTAAAAAAGTGCCCTCTACAGGAGGAGGCAGGAGAACAACATGCCTCATCTAGTCTGACTTTATGATCACTTGAGCAGAGTTAAGCAAGGGTTAAAAGCCGAAAAATTCCTGACGTAGCTGAGGCACGTAGTTCTGCCTCCTCCTGTAGAGGGCGTTTTTTTAGAGGCTTTTTAAAACAGTTAAGCAGAGTCATCCACACGGTGACTTTGGCAGCAACTAGCCCAGCCTGACCTCAGCTCTTGCCTTTTTCCTTTTACATTTTTTTTCTTTTCATGATGGCAGGCAAGAGCAGAGTTGAAATCCTCTCTGAAACAGCTGGAAAAGGTAAGTGTGGGTCGGTGGGAGGGGGAGGAATTCAAACTTAATCCTCCTGGTGCAACTTTGTGTGTGTGTGTTTGTTTGAGAGAGTTTGTTGGAGTGAAGAGAGGGATGTGGGTAGGAGAGGCAGGGTGGGCAGCCCGCCTTACCTGGCTGGAGGGGCAGCACCTCTGGCTTCAGTCCAGCCTGCGACGCTAGCTTTCTTTCGCCCACCTGTGCCCGCGGCAGCCCGTCAGCTCAGGCGGACGAAAGAGACTTTCTTTCCCCTGCCTGTGTCGGCGGCAGCCCGCCAGCTCAGATGGGCGAAAGTCACTTTCTTTCGCCCGCCTGTGCCCGGGGCAGAGCTCAGGTGAGCTGCCGCAAGCACAGGGGGGCGAAAGAAAGTGCTTTAGTTAGTGGGGTGTCGGGGGAGAGGACTGCCTCACCAGCCATAAACCTCACCGCACGTCACTGAATTATACATATGCTAATGTTTTTATATATGCTGTGGTAGTTACTATTTGTAAATGTTTTCTTGTGACAATGCGTTTATGAATAAATCCACACTCAAAGAATGGAAAAGGAAGCATATTTTTTTATGTTTACTTCTTTGTTCTGATCATTATGATTTAGGATTCATACCATTTTATCAGTGTGAATGTCCAAAGTATGAATCTCCAAAGCATCTGAAGGAGATACAGTATCTTTATTGCAATAAATATCTGGCAATATGGGAATGATTAAAAAGGGGGTGGGGGCTGAATTCTTTTCTTTAGCAGCACTTTGCCTTTTCTGCTTTTTCTCTGATGTTTGTCATCTGCTTGAACATCAGAGCAATGTTACAAAAAAAAACTGATTTGCAAAATAGGCAGGTATAATGAAGAACATGGGAATAAAAAGCTACTGCAAAATATTCTAAAATCATTTTGTCTACTTTTGTCTGTAATTTAGTGTCTCAAAAATGAGGCAACTTTTCCTCTTGCTAACTATTCAATCTATTTCCTGATTATGATTATGTCATTGGTTTGCTTTCCATTCCTTCTATGAGATCCCCTACTGCAGGGGCACCAATCTTTTGGCTTCAGCGATCACTAAATTCATAATTCTAAATCCCACAGATTACTAATATGATTTTTTAAAAAAAAGATAAATAGTGCAATATAAAAAATAAATAGTGCAATATAAAAAATGCAAATATTTTTTCTGCAGACCACCAAAATTTTCTTGCATACCACCTATGGTCCACGAACCACCAGTTAGTGACCACTGCCCTAGTTGATTCCTATATAATGGGTGACATTTCATTTTGAAATAAATTGAACCTTTCCTCCAAAATCTGAAAAATATTCCTCCTTTCCTATATTATTCAATGCATATGCAAAGGCATGGAAACACTAGGCTACATTTCTGACTGCTAGCCATATAGGAATATCATTTTTTCCTTAATAATTAGTGAAACAGTGACATCCCTGAAATAAATGTATAAATGGATTTGGCTTGCTCAGTTTTCCTTTGGAATTTTCTCTGAAAGAACCAATACAGAATGCTATGTGAATGACTTTTATTCAGGCCAGTCTTGTGGAAATATTGAAAAAACATTAACATAAATACCTGGTTTTTTCATGTAAAATGATTTGTTTTTCAACTTTTTTCTCTCTAGGAAATAAAATATGTCCCTAAGAAAATTTCATCAAATGGCTGTTTTTATGGGTATTCAGTGTATTGCAGCAGGTGCTTTTACATACTACTATATACAAAGTAAGTTTCATCATAGTTAGCAATTTGAAATTGATTTATAAAGTGTCTGTGCATTAACTTGATAAATTGAACTGGACCCTCTTAGACTGTAAGTACAGGGTCCCTATTCATTTCTCCATGCTCATTTTTTTTACAAACAGAAAGCCAGCATAGTGGGCAAAGAATAGGACTATCTATCTTTCTATCTATCTGTAATAAGATTTTAAATGGGGAGATTTTAAAAATAATATCCCTACCTATTCATAGGAGTATCAACCAAATATTATGTGTTCCTCTACTTAGAATCCTTTTATACTACCCAGCTAAATATTTCTGATTTTGCTAATAGATGGAGGACTTTGACCTTCAAACATTTTATTTATTTGCTATCCATCTTGCCATCAGGTGACTCTTGGTGACTTACAATAAAATAGAAACAATATAAAATATTAAAATGATAAGCATTAGCATTAAAGTTAGCAAAAATGGCTAAAGAAGGAAGCAGAATGCAAATAGGATAGAGACAGAATCCTCTCTCAGTTCACCAACCAGCTCCAATGCAGAATCCAAGGACCCCTCAGGACCCAAGGCCAATCGGCAGAGCAAGGTTTTATTACTATCCTGTGCAAGGCCAGAGGGAGGGGGATCTCACCGTGGAGGCATAATGTTCCAGGGGGCAGGAGCCTTGACAGAAATTCTCTTCTCCTGGACCCTGCCAGCTGGAATTTTGTTGCTGGCCCAGGAAAGACAGGCCAATCCCATTGGAATTATAAATGGTGCTTTATAAATGGTGCTTCTAAGAAAAACATAGTCATATTTACAAATCCAAAATTTGCCTTGAATATAGGTTTGACTGACAATGCTTGAGTTTTAAAATAAATTATAAGAAATAAGATATACATTTTCTTCAACAAGGTATGTAAATCACACATTAGGGCTCTGGCATAAAATTTTATTTTCTCTGTGCATTGCTTGGAGACTCCATGCATGGGTTATAACTTGTGCCTATTAGTCCCGAGACTGAGTTTGAATATTTGGACACGCCTCCTTGGGCTTGCTGTAGCTCAGTTCTTAACTCAGTCTAGGCCAACAAGACGCATTTCAACTCTTCTCTGAAGTTTATTTTTAGGCATTAGTTAGAACTTTATATCTGGACTCTTCAACTAGCTACAGAAAGTATTTGATCTCTTTTCCTGATAATCTGCTAGCCTTAATTGGACTGCAGGGGAGCTTAATGATCTCCAGGGCTCTGGTGACCGTTCTGAGGTAAGTCTTCATCTGGCTAGCTCTCCCACAGCTGCATTCTTTGCTTAATAGCTCTGTGGACTCTCCCTTTCATCTCTAATTGCTGCCAAGCCGCTGCACTGCCCTTTGAGGCGTGAATGATGGTTTTAGCCTGGGGAGACAGCCGCGCTTCTCCTTTTCCTTTTTGATTGCTGCCAAGCCGCTGTGCTTCCCCTTTAAAGCGCGAACAGTGGTTTTAACCTGGTGAGCCTGCTGGCCTCGCCACCATGCCACTTCTTTTTTTGGTGCAAACAGCAGTTGGAGCACAATCAGCTCCTTTGAACTTTTCAGAGCAGCGGGAGTGAGTGGGGAGCCATGCAACCCTCATTTATTGGCTGAAACCTTCGGACTCATTGGATTGCCTTAGTAAGGCTAAGGATTCACTTGCTCTTCTTCAGGCTTCATTGCTGAGGTAACAGGTTAGTGTGGGCTGGAGAGGTGGTGCCTCCATTTTGTGAGGCTTCTCTGTAATTCCTCATGGCTATCTGCCTTTTGATTGCAACTGATTGCCACTATGCCCATATCTATTCATCTCTCTTTAAGGGGCTGGGATTCTGGCTAGCCCTTCCTTAAGCAAGATAAGTGCTCTCCCTTTCCTCTGACATAGTTGATACAGCAGGCTTCTAATAGTGGTGGCTATTTTGAGTCACCAATGGTCAGGCCTGATTTTCCTTACTCAAATTGCCTGCTCCTACAAATCAGCAGTCTATCTGGCAGCTTTGGTTGCCTGAGCCGCTGTTGCTCCTGAGGGCCTAATTCTGAAAGTTAATCAGTCTAATATTCCCTGGGGTCCACGTCCAAGTATTTAGTCACATCCCAGGGTTAAGTGACTGTAACCACTAATATGATGAATTCATAAATTGCTAAATTAATAAAGTATTATATCTGATCTCTTTCCATCTTCATCTCTTGCAATATATTCCATCTAGAAATGGCTGGTAGCAAAATAGGCCCTGGCAAGGCCAAGGCTAAGACCAAGCACTTATCAGCTTCTAAGGCGTCAGCCAAGCTGTCTGCCAGGCGTCAAAAGGTGCTTAGAAAGCAGTTTGCCAAGGCACAAAAGGCAACTGCAGTGCAGTCAGATAATACCATGAGTGGTCAGGATTCATCTCTAGCTCCATGCAGGTAACTTCGTGACTTGTCACCTGATATTCCGGACCTTCCAGCTAATCAACCTGCTTGCTTTGACCCCCTCCTTTTCTCCCTTTGAGTATTTACCTCCCTTGGAGGGTACTTCCTCTGCTTCTCATGACCTACCTCCTTCTTCCATGCCTAATCCTTCTCCACCTCCTGCGCCCCTCCTTTTGGTTTTACACAGGAAATGTGCCTCTTCAGAGTGTCAAGGCTGCCTTTCATCACAGATCCAAGGGCCCTACCTCTTCTACCACACCTACCACCTGTCAAGATCTACCGATGGTGGAGAAAACATCACAGGCGGAAGTGGATGATGAACCCCACCAATGTGACAACTCAGCATTGGCAGAAGGAGAAGTGGATGAGAATGAGTTGTCAGAATCTGAAGGCCTGGAACCTGATACACCGAACTACTCAGGCCTGTTTACCTCCACTATTTTCAAATCCTTTTTCTTTAAGGCTAAGGCCATCACTGCCTTGATGAGGGCAGGAGATTCATCCACTCCCGACAAGGAGTTGAAGAATCGGGGGAGTGGCTGTTTTCTGAGCAGAAGGTTTCCCGTGATTCCATTTCTTCCCCTCAGATATTCATTGATGTTGTTCAACGTCAGTGGTCTCAACCTAGCTTGGCTATTGCCCCTAGTGGAATGGACAAGCATTTCTATGTTGCTGCTCTGGGAGAACCTTCTCCAGTGGCCTAAGGTAGATGCCCATGTTCCAGGAGACGAGGCCGAAGGCCTGAAAGTCGAAGACAAAAAAGAAGAATCTTCCTTCTGCAAGGCCCACCTAGCTTCTACTTGGGCAATTAGGGCAACCACTGCCATTTCATATTTTAATTGCCCTTTTCTAATGTGGCTCTGCCAAATCCTAGATAGACTTCCACCTGGGGACACACGCTGCTGCCAACCACTGAGTTCTCTGCCGATGCTACCTGAAAGGAGCAAAGTTTGCCTTGTGAGCGTTGGCGGCCAATTTAATATCCCATTGGCTAGCCTGGTCAAAGTGACTCCCTAAGCACTCCCATTGGTGGTCATCTGCAGTATTATATGACTCAGTGGGAGGCAACCACCAAGGACGCGTGGGTGCTGCAGACCATCCGTCTAGGGCTCACCCTAGAATTTCAGTCTCCTCCCCCTCCCCATTTCATTCAATGTCCTGTCCCAAAGAGCTCCCTCAAGAAGGAATTCATGGAAGCAGAGATCCTCCATTTGATGAATATCAGGGCCACAGAGCCAGTAACCCCAGGGCATGAGGGAACTGGGTTCTATTCCATCATATTCCTGGTTCCCAAGAACTCAGGGGGTTGGAGGACCATCTTGGATGTGAAAAGGTCAACAGTTATATAGCCTACAGGCGATTCAAGATGCAATCTCTGCGGTCCATACTGGCCTGTATCTGCAAGGGAGACCACCTGATGTTTATTGTCCTCAAAGAGGCCTATCTACACATTTCAATCAGACCTTCACACAGGAAGTTCCTCAGGTTTTGTTACAACTAACATTACCAGTACAGAGTTCTTCCCTTCGGACTCTCCTTAGCTCCTTGGACATTTACCAAAATCCTCGCAGCAGTAGCAGTCCAATTCCGGTCAATCCCCATTTGTCTGCAATGTTATTTGGATGACATTTTGATACAGTTGTCGACTCTCAGCTAAGTGTGTCGAGATCTGCGCATCGCCCTTCACTTTCTGGCAAGTCACGGCTTCTCCGTGAATACTGAGAAGAGTCATCTACTTCCCTGCACCCCACTACTTCATCTGGGAGTGATGATAGACATGGAATCATCCATGGTCTTTCTATCCTAGGGCCGTTGCACCAGCATTCGAGCTCTGGTGGACACTGTCACCTCTCGGCACAAGGTACCTCTGATATTGCTATCCCGCCTCTTAGGGAAGTTAATACCTTGCGTAGACATAGTGCCATAGGTTCATCTCCATTCTCATCCATTACAATGATTCCTTCTCCCACACCAATGAGTGGGAGTTTCCACATCTCCAGCGACCATATGCGTGCCCCCCCCCCCCCCCCAGAGTCCTGTGATCTCTTCAGTTGTGGAAGTCCTTGGCAATTCAGAAGGCAACTCTGTTCAGGGAACCCGAACGGATAATTGTCACATTGGATGCCAGCCTGTTCAGCTGGGGGGCCCACCTCAAATCTCAATTGGCCCAGGGCCATTGGTCTCAGGACGAGCTGAAGAACAGCATCAATTGCTGGAGCACCAAGCTGCTCACCTGGCTCTAGGTCAATTCCATCACCGCATCGCCGGCCATCATATCCTCGTGATGACATCGCAACATTGCAACCAAGGCACATGTGAACTGCTAGGGCAGTACCCACTCAAGGGCACTGATGCATGAGGCCGAATGCCCATGCCTCTGGGCGGGGAAGAACCTCTTATCTCTGTGGGCGGAACACATATCAGGCTCGGCCAACATTCAAGCAGAGTGGCTGAGCAGGGCCACGATCGACCATGCAGAGTGGCGTCTGCACCTGGACCTCTTCCACAACATCACTCAGAGGTTCGGCCAGCCAGTGGTGGACCTATTTGTGTCACTGCAGAACACCTAGCTACCACACTCCTTTTTATGGTTCCAGACCCCGGGG